CGCTTATGAATTTCTCATACTGGATAGCAGACTCCATGGTGTTCTTTGAATAGTCTAGAGTATCCTTCCAAGAATGCATAAGAAAAGCCAGCCTTAATTGCCGTGCTGTTGAGAGTTTTAAAGAAAAAAATGGAAAAATACTGCATAGTAGAGAATCATAGCTGGCAGAGGCCATTTAGGCTATCGATATATAGCTACTCTAAAAAAAACAAACCCCAAAATACTAATTACAGAATAAAAGAAATAATTTTAAATGCAAATTATATAATGGAGATAAGCTAAGCAACAACTAGCAGCATTGTACCCACCAAAAATGAAATGTTTTTAAATTAATAGATCTTACCTGTATGCTGTTTTAATGCATCTTTTATTGTAATAAAGTTTTTCAAAGATTTGGACATTTTACAGCCAGCAATTGTCAAATGCCCAGTGTGTAGAAAATAGCGCACCCAGTGATCATTGTCAAAGTATGCCTACAAAATTAACAAGACCAAAGAAGTGTATTATAATATGATAATTAGATTGCAGCAACATTAAAAAAAGAAGAGTGATATCTACTGTAATTCGATAGGAAGCAATAAAAGAACATTTTAATGGTAACAAACGAGGATTAGTTAGTAACATTTCTTTAGGAAAATTATGGCTGCCCAACTTACTGTACATACCATGATTCTAGGTAGCTAATAATAATAAAAACATATAAGAAACAGTTTAAAAAATCAACCAACCAGCACTTAGCAACCATTCAGAGTTACAACTGATCCAAAAAAGGGAATTTATGACCCAAATTCAAACTTCTGATGGTTGGGCCCTCTCCACTGTCACATGACAGACTTTGGCCCCTTGGCAATAGAATCACATTTATGGCCATTTGCAGTAACTCATGGACATATGTTTTATGATGGTTTTGCTGAAAACCAAGACTCATTCCATGTTCAGAAAAATTGTGTCCATAGCAAAACATTGGTTCGCTTAACAACTGTGGTATTTGCTTAATGGCCATGAGTTCACTTAATGACTGCTGCCCAAAAGGTCATAAAATAGGGCTGGTGACACGAGCAACCCATTTTATCACCATTGTGGTATATAAGTGTTTGTCAGCTTTGGAAGCCATATTGAGATCGATGCTCCAGGCTGCCACAATTGAGCCTGAGAAAGTGGGAGGGAGGAATTCATTTGAGTATATCTAGTTAGACAAAATACAATTCTTCTGTTTGGTTCAAGGTCACGGAGTGTGGCGCATAATGAATTGGGAATCTTACTTTAGGACGGATGGTGATTGGACCGTGTGATGTGGTGATAGCTAAGGAGGGATGGATTTGTATTTTTGACTTTTGCAAGGAAGCCTGGAACTTTCAGTTTCGGGATTCCACAGATGTGCCAATTATTATTATCCAAATAAAGGTACCTTTGAGATATGTCTGTCTCGGAGTTATTGATTGGAATGGAGGGTTGCTGGAACGCTGACAGTGTTCTCTATACATATACATTTTCTTGGAAAAAGTATTTTTGTTCCCATCCTGGTCAGGCCCAGCCTTTTTTTTTTAACAGGGATATACAGGATGTCAGGGGGGGCGGGGGAGGGGAAGGTTGAGAATTACTGGTTTAGTGCCTCACACCACTTACCTCAGATTGTGCTAACTCATTGTCGTGGTGGGGGAAACGAAGATCAAAACCTCCTCCGTGGATGTCCATAGAGTCTCCTAGAATGGATCCAGCCATTGCAGAACATTCAATATGCCATCCTGGACGTCCCTATTAACATAGGTTGATAACTACTTAATCATGTAGATTAATATCCTTGATGATTTAATACTAAAGCCTAACATGCACCATATTCATTAAGTGATTTAGCTCAGTCAGTGAATTCCGGAGAAGTACAGAAGGACGATGGGCTCAAAACTTGTTTAAGATGGTGTCCTTCAAACCATTGGATATATTTGCCTTTTGCTTAGGAATTAAAGACATTAGCAGAGAAATATTTCTAAAGCCTCTAATCAGCAGATGGCTTAGAAAAACATTAGGATGAACAGAATATATAATTGCAACCTAAAACTATAAAAACTGAAAAAGTCTGCTAAGACAGCTCTGAGGCCAAAGATAACAAGATTCAAGATTCAAGGTTCAGGTTATAACCAGTTCAGATGGGAAGACTGTTTTTAAAAAAAGTAAGCAAATAAATCTCATCTATAAAATTATTGGTTCACAGAGGAAACATATTCTAAACTGTATCTTATTTCACAGCAATACTAGACAATTTTAATCTGAGAACCTGATCTGTGTTAATTAGGTAAACACCACACCACATGTTATTTAGGTGCTTTCTGAGCTAGCACCTTATACAGCTATACAGGTAGTCCTTGACTTACAACAGTTCATTTAGTGACCATTTGAAGTTTCAACATCACTGAAAAAAGGGACTTTTCATACTGACAACCAGTGCAGCATCCCCACGGTCATGTGATCCAAATGCAGGTGTTTGGCAACTGGTACATACCTATGATGGTTGCAATATCCCGAGTTCACGTGAACCCCTTTTGCAACCTTCTGACAAGCAAAGTCCATGGGGAAGCCAGATTCACTTAACTGTGTTACTAATTTAACACCTGCAGTGATTCGCTTAACAATTGTGGCAAGAAAATCGTAAAATGGGGCAAAATTCACTTAACAAATGTCTCACTTAGCAATAGAACTTTTGGGCCCAATTGTGGTTGTAAGTCATGGACTACCAGCATTTCCTGAATTTATCAAATTAATAATGGGTGTAGTTGTTAAGCACTATTATTTATTACAATTAAATGGTACCTCAACACTCATTGTTAATTGGTTCTGAGTGGAGCAAGGAGTACCCAAAATGATGAGTACCAAACAAATTTTCCCCATAAGGAATAAGGTAGTGAGTCACAAGTCTTGTGCATTGAGTACCAAACACGGTGAGTACCAGGACAAAATTTTAGTGTCAGAGTACACTGAGTACCACATTCAATGAGTTTCAAAGCAGTTGAGTACCAAGATACCACTGTATATGGATTAAAATGCATATTCATAACGCTTCATCTATTTCATTACATTTAAATGCCACCCATCTCACCATTTCAAGTGACTCTGGGTGGCATAGGCAATAATAGTGCTCTAAATCCAAAGATTTTGTTATATAACTGAAAATCATGTACAAGGAGGGGGCACACAGTAAATTTCCCTACTTTGCCTCGTTACAGAAATGGTATTGTAGAAATTAAAAACAAAACAAAACACCTTTCTCCTCTCCCAAGGGAGCAACTGTGTCTGCGGATCACACAGCTCATTGCTCAATCTCAGCTATCCTTTACCTTGCCCCAGGGAGAATCCCATGAAGGCTCTCCTGGCTTGGAGGATTTCCACAAAGCAAAATCATTTGGCGATCGCTTTTCATTTAAACGGTCCACTGAGATACTCAGGTCGCCTAGGAGAAGCAGAAGGAGGAATGGTAAGAATCAGCAACCTTTTCACTGTCTCCAAATAGTCTCTGGAAACTTACTTAATGAAGTTAAATTACCTTCGCCCTCCTGTAATGCTTTTTGATCTCCGACAGCTTCAGGGACCAATTTTGCATAGGTGTGTTTCTCAGATGCATCGAATTTTAGTGTATCAAAATAAACAGATCCATTGGATACATAACTAGAAGGTAAAACTATAGTTTCAGTAAGCAGGAAGGTTGACGCTGTTTAATGTAAAAAAACATTCTTCAACACTTTTGCATGGCTGATTTTGATACAGAATTCAAGAAAATTAGGCTATGCAGCGGGTTGATGTTTGCAATTGTAGCTCAGCTCATGTGAAACGGGCTTTTCAAAATGCAGCTGGAATTTCTTGCTTTTTATTTTTTTCCTTGAAAAACGTTTTGCTTTTCATCCAAGAGGAATCAGAGTGCCAATAAATGTAGACTGTCTTTTAGCAGTCCCGAAGCAGGTTCCACACCCATTTGCACTGATTTGGGTGACCCTGAGGGTACAGATAAAGCCCCAAATTGGCTTCAACAACTCTCAGAGAGCTAAACACTGAGTTTCGGATGACTGCAAAGAATATAAATACTTCCATTCCCCACCATTCAGTCAGAACTGAAGAAGCGTCTTTGATGAGAAGCAAAATGTTTTTCAAGAAAAGAACCAAGAAAGTCCAGTTGCCTTCTGAAAAGCACTTGTGGGACAATCATAACCTGGGTGATTGAGAATCTCTATGGACAACTCATCTGGAAGCATCAGGCTGGGAAAACTGGATAAGGATTAAGTCATGAGCACTTGTAAAATAGACAAAGAACCTTTATTGTAATTCTTTGCTATATAATGTAGTGTAAAGTTAGACTATCTTAGATAAAAAGGACATTGGAAATATTCCTTTATAGGGAAACCAGTGAATTACTTATCAGATACTCAAACTATTACTCTCAGCACTTTCAGCATAGTACAGAGATCAGTGGGAAAACGTCAAGTTATACTCACCCATATCCATTATCTACAATCTTCTGAACAAAGTCCACAATTTCTGGTACATATTCACTTACACGAGTTAAAACATCTGGAGATAATACCTGGGGGGCGGGGGAGAGAAACCAAACGTTTTCTCTTTCCATATCACACCAAGATCTCAAAATATATTCCACTTTACAATTAAAATTATATAGTAAAATAATAAAATTTGGCAGGGAAATCCAACTTAAACCCAACTTAAAAACGGATAGGAATTGATCTCTACAGACCGACTATTCTTGGGCTTTTATTCTGCTTAGTGAAACCAAGCAATATTTAACTACCAAAAGCTAAACCTGAAAAATATCCTTCAAGCTAAAATAGAAACTAACATTGCTGCGACTGTTGATGAAACACAAATGACTCTTGTTATAGATCTAATTATAATTCTGATTTTCTAGATGGGAACAAATGGAACATAGTGCTACAAACAGACTTTCTGAGGATTTTGCCTAAAGGTCTCAGTTTATCATTTTAATATTCGAAATCGTTTCCTAAATTGAAGCTTTTAACTACATATATGACACATTTCCTTTCTAGTCTTGAAAAGAAGAGGAAATTTGAAACAATAAAGCATGAGCAATACCATTCAGAGGGTTTGTGCTTGAATAAGCATGTCTACTTACATTGAGCGCTGCCATATCTTTATGATATTCTTCTTCCCAAAATTTGGGAAGTTTGGAAAATATAGAGTTGTCAGTCACTTGGCTACCCAACTTAGTGTCCAGCCACTCAGAGAGTGTATCTTTTGCTTCTTGCAACAAAGTCTGAAAAATAAATGTCATTCTGCTCAGGAACCAGATTAATCGGGTTTACCTGCTCTATCGTAATCGAGGGGATAAATACCCACCAGAGGACTACTATCGCTTGAAGCGGGAGTATAAAGAAAATAAGAAAAATGTCATTTAACACAAGCTGTTCATCATAACACACAATTTCCACAATTCTTACAAATTCCCCAGGGGCCCATGCTCAAATGCTCTTCAAGATTCACGGGAAAGACACTTCAGGGGAACCTTGCTTTGGGAAATGAATGAGTGACTGAGAATGTGTGTATATGTATGATGTCTGTGTGTGTTTTGTGTGTGGTAATGTATCAGAAGGCAATGACTGAAATGACTCTCAACCTGTTTCAAAAAAGTGTACCAACCTCAGCATATTTATTGACTTCTCCCTCAGAGAGCTTCTTTTGAAGGCCGTTCTCTAGTGGTTCCAGAGCAGCTCTCACTGACTTTTGCATCCTTTCCAGCATCTGTTTCTTATCAGGATCAGAAGTTTCTTCCAGCTTTGCCGAAAAATGCTGAATTAAGAAACATGGATGGAAAACATAAACAAAACCAGGTGAATATTTCTGTCAGAGCACAAATAATCATGAGCGTGGAAAAAAGAGAGATATAGAAGTAGCTATTGAAAGCCTCCTTGCATTCTCATTCTCCCCCCCCCCCGTGTGTGCATGTGTGTGTGTGTGTGTGTGTGTGTGTGCGCGCATGCAAACAAGGAACATGGATATGTAAAATGAAGAGGAGAAGTCCTGCTCCCTTTTGGTTGTGGTCTCCCCCATTGTTCTTGTCCAGCATTCAACCTCTCTCCTCCAAGAGACTGTGACTATCTCTCTAACCCTATCCATTAGTTATAAGGGTAAAATGCTAAAAATAAAACTATTATGTAACCAATCATGCTTTAAGTAAGAAAATCATTTGAATTTTAGAAGAAAGTGGAATTTCTCATTAACATCATATTATAATAGCAATCACAGCCAGGCTGGCCAATGCAGGAAAATACATACATACATACATACATACATACATACATACATACATACACCACATAAATTATTAATTGGGTCATCCCGATGAAGGACCAACTAAAATAAGTGTTTTTTCCCCAGTGAGACCGGTCTGCTTCCGCTTTCACCTTTTAACCCCAATCCAGGAACCTTTGCAGGCAGTTGCTTTCGCGACAAATTATTTTTGTGTTGAAATATATTTATTTCATTAATTTCTTTGTTGGTAAATATAAATTCAACACACACAAAAAAGACCAACTAAAATGTTACAGAAGAGTATGCCTGTCAGTTTCTGAGTTCTCTGAAGTTCTTCATTAAGCAATTACACTACAGAAGTGGAAGTTCCAAATCAAGCATACCAATTGTGAATATTTGCACATTTTCCATTTCATCATTTACTGAATTTCCAAACCCCTTTCGAAAATGTTTATGACAACTATTAAGGGAGGAGCTGAAGGCCAATAAATGCAGAGATTTACATTTGATTGGCAGCAGAGGAGAGGGTGATAGCACAAATCAACCTCAAGGTTAGGAAAAGGAAAAGGGAGCTGAAATCAAACACTGGACAAAAAGAGGTGTTTTCAGACTGGCTCGGCAGCACTGAGAGGTAAGAACATATTAGGATCTGGCTATAAGGAACAGGGCAGTGATTTGTATTCCAAGTGGAAATGATGCTTTGGGACCTGTGAGTATGCTCTGTAGCATGTGTCAGTAGCTACTTAAAACAGGCACATCTTTTTGTAGGATGTTACGGGATCATGGGAAAAACACATAATTGAAGGACTTAGGCACTACTTATGCAAATGTCTAGGGTTTTCCCGTCTAATCCAAAAACTCTGTAACTCTTAATAGGGCATGTTAGCAAGGAGAGAAGGTGATGATGGAAGCACTGAACAGCAAAGCCTTGGTACTTCTCAGGCATAAGTATTTTGCAGGCTCTGAAGGACCAGTTACAGCAGGAAGGATGAAATCCTCAAAGAATTAAAGGGTGTGAAAGGGAAGAGCAGGAAAAGAAAAAGGAGTAAAACGGAATAAACAAGTATCTGAATAGGTGTTCTAAGAAATCCCTCTTATGAGACTCTCTCATTGCTTTCCCATGACTCTGGAGTCTGGCTTCTGGGCTTTATCTTGGGTCACTGATGCTAGTCCTTGCAAGGCAGAATGGAAACCAATCACTTAGTCCTGTTAGAATACCAGGTGGAGAACAACAGGCTGTTTTCCCCATCTTGCTTGTTTCTTCAATTGTCAGCTAAACACTCAGTCTCTACGATGAATAAATAAATGACCAGAAGACTTTTCAAATCAAATCACACACAAAAAAAGTTTAATTTTATGGTAAATTATTATTTCCTTTTTAAATAAGTGTATTAACTCCCCCCACTATAAGAACTAAATGATAGCCTATTGGACTGAATTTCACCTAAGAAAAGAAAGCAATTTGAATGTTTAATAATGATTTGACACTAGCTAGGAGAAAGTTTCAGTCTGAAACATAAGCCCAATGGAACTCATTACCTAATCCTAAACTCACTTATTTTTTCTTGTTTTCAGCAAAATTAGCTGGCTTGTCATTCTGACAGACAAATGCCAGTCACTTCAATCTGCTCCTTTGTTTAACTCTCACCCTACTAACTTGGAACAAGCCCAAACTCAGGTCACTGGTTTGGTTAAATCCTACATTGGTTTATAACTCACACTAAGCTCTTCTCAGCTAATCATTGGTCCAATTTACTCCAGCAACAGCTCCTAGGAATTTCCTCTTTGGATGAAGATTCTCACTCACCCATTGTCCCATTCTTTTTTGCACTAGAGGAAGGGGAGAGAGAAGACAGGCCATGAGCTTACCATAGAAGCTAGTTTAACATTTTCAAGCAGCTGCGTTGCTGATGGCCTCTGCTCCAAGTATTGCTCAAAGAGGTAGTTTTGCCTTGCTCTTTTTATGATCTAAAACAAAAAATGAAGTATGCCTAAGAAGCAAGTTTATACATGAAGACGGAACCACCGCAGCTGAACATACACATTTTCAGAACAGAAAGCTTCTTCAGGTAGACACTTGTTTATATTACCTTTTTAAAGCTACTGTATGTATTCATGGAGCTGCCTATCATAAGAATAAACTTTCAATTAGTGAGAGATATTGTTAAAATGCAATTGACCATCACATTAACCTTAGCAAGAAGTTTCATTTCAGAAATCAATTGAATTAAGGTGTTTTCATTTACCTTATCATCTATGTCTGTAATATTCATACAATAGAAGACATCGTATTTGAAGTAATCTTTTAAAACTCTTCTCAGGATATCAAATGAAATATATGATCTAAAATAATTTAAAAACTAAGTTAATTTTGTATATGTGCTATTTCCAAGCAAGTATACAGAAATGTATGTGTTAGTGAAAATAATACATAAAACAGCTTTCTTACAACAATCATATATTACCGGTAGGAAATGTACAAATAAAAAGGACTAATTTTTTTTCATACATTTCAACAAATAAAGAAATAAAGCAGATTGAAACTAAGGCTACAAAATGAACAATGTCATACACAACCTATTTATTCAGCTGTAACAAAAAAAAAAAAATCCTACTTTACCTTGCGTGCCCCATATGGGAAGCATCATACACTGTTGGGCCGCAGCAATACCATTTGACTTGGTTGCCATTTTGGGGTTGAAACACGTCCTACAACGAAATAGCACACGTGGCAATGAATGAAAGCTGCTGAGTTTATTAAGCTTGAAAACAACAACTCTGAATCAAAGTAACACTACTGATTCCACAGCAGTCTCGGGGTATTGCTGTTTCAACAATGATTTTCAAGCCGAGAAAACTAAAATGATGTGAGGAATACGTTATCCGGAGATGAAAGAAAGGAAAACAAGTTCACCTTATTACGAGTAAGACTGTTGTAAAGGCAGAGTTTGGGTTGAGCTGTCCCTTGGGGTGGCGCCCAGTGAGGCTGAGTACGTTTGTTTTTACCTGCAGAGGAATTTATAATGTCAGATGAATGATCAAGCAACAGCGTCATCAGAAAATAGTGTTAGAAGAAAACTTTCAAGGAACTGAAAGTCATTAGACATTTCAAAAGAGATGCTGAAAAAAATGTCACAATAATTGTTTTGAATAGAGACCCAGTTTGCAATAAAACTCCCTCAATGGATTCCTGTTTTTACAAATGTTAAGATGTCTACAAAACTGATGTTAAGGTTGGTTCATTTAAAAAAAACATGCATGTTGATGTATTGGACTCCCCAAAGAATGTATTTGAAAGGATGGACATCAGATCTTCTATGCTGGAGGTATAAAAAATTTGAGGGCTCACCAACCTACATGACAGGGTCATGTGATCATTTCGTATATTTGAGGAAAAGTGTATTAATGGATGCTAGCAGATTTATGGGAAAATCTTTAAATGTTAAAGATACTAATGTAATCTTGAATGTGTACTAAAATTTTGGGATTTAACTGCTATCAGGAATTATGGTTTCTTGAGCATGGTGTTGCTTGCAAAAAGAATTATACTAAGAAATTAGAAAAATGATATTATTCTACATGTCAGGGAACAAATTATAATTTATGTACATGTTTATTTTTCAGTTTACACACAATCTTTCTTTAAAATTAAAGGTAAAAATGAAATGACTAAAACAAAAGGATTATATCCAGGGGTGGGATTCAAATTTTTTAACAACCGGTTCTGTGGGCGTGGCTTGGTTGTTGGTGGGCGTGGCTTGGTGGTCATGTGGCTGGCTGGGTGTGGCCAACTCAACATCACTCACATCGAGGTATGCATCTCCTCGCCTGGCCTCTCATGACTGTGCGGATGCTGCAACAGTCGTAAGTGTGAAAAATGGTCTTGTCACTTTTTTCAGTGCCATTGTAACTTTGAATGGTCACTCCACACAAGCAAAGTACCAGCAAAGGAGGGGAAAAAAACTCCAGAGACGTTCCTGAGACAGGAAGTCTAGTCCTGCCAAGAATGTAATAAGGGTTAACGGAGAGGCAGTTTCTGTAAGCAACACCAGAATGTTTCCTTCCTGCCTTCCTTACAGGATTAGGCCAATAATTTCTTCTAACAACCAGTTCTCCGAACTGCTTAGAATGTTAACAACCAGTTCAGGCAAAAATGTGCGAACCTGTAGAATCCCATCCCTGATTATATCCCACCTTTCCTGCAAGAGCCAGAAAGTAAACATGGAACTTTTTCACAAAGACCCAAAGTTATTCAGTTTTTCTGAGGATGAAGCTGGACATGAAACTGGACCTCCCTCAGTAATTATATTGTATTGATGTATTCAAACCTAATTTAGATGTAAATCGTGTTGAAATACAGTAATCAATACCAGAAACCCACTTAGAGAGCTGAACGCAAGAGTAAAAAGAAGTAAATCTAGAAATTCAAAGCTTTAAAATAATGCTACTCTCCCAAAACCAAAATAAAACAATACCAGTATAAATTCCTGCACTGTATCCACAAATAGGTGAAACATATCTTAAGACTGATAGTAGATATAAGCAATACCTTCCATGCTATTTATATTAAATAAACAACAACTCCTAAATAAACAACCCTAACCTTTTCAGAATTAATGGGTTTTAGTTTTCTACTTGATATTTTAACAGCTGAGAAATGAGAGAAAAGTATTTAGGAGAAAAACAAGGGACAAAATATATCCTCATCTACTTCAGCAAACAATGCTGAAAAGTCCTTGAGTGATCCAAAGAAGAAATAGAATTAGAATAGAAACAGAAATTGAATAACAGAAAAATATGAAAAAGTGAATCTGTACAGTCACGAAGTGCCAGGTAGGCCTCAGTCATGAAACAGAAGCAGACCAATAGGAAATACAGTACAAACCCCATCCTATCTAGAGACAAGATGCTTCTTCATATGCCCTCCTCCATCTCTATGATCACATTACAGCAAAAAATTGTATCTGCTGATCTCATCTCTCAATGTCTTGTTCACCCTGAATACAGAGGCCTGTTTATTTCTGCTTTTCTTTTCCATATGTCAGATTTCCCTCCCTTCCCCATCTCTCACTATAAACAAAAACATTAGAAGCCACATTACAAAACATCATTTGCTGGTGATGTTCGTGAGATTATAACAAAGTTTTTTTCTGTCTCCAAAAATGTAATTAGGGAACCTCTGAATTGATTTTGGAACAGACTTCCTATGTCATTCTATTTATAAGAATTTTCCCCGAAACACTTAAAAAAAAATTAAAAAAGCAGGAACTATTATTGGCTGCCTTGCCGAAGAAGTAGTTCCTGAAGGCTTCTGACAGTGAAAAGGAAGCCGGGGATGACGCACACAAGTGAGGTTAGTCAGTGGATGACATCCCCCCAAAATAAGACCTGATGCCTTTTTTTGTGGCCCAAAAATATATAAGACAGGGCCTTATTTTCAGGAAAACACAATATGTTCCTTTCAGGATTTTCTGATATTATTGTTACACTGAATTATGCAAGATAAAAAGCAGGATTGTAATTTGAAACATCTATGAATTTATAAATGCATAATGGAGCTCTCAAATTCTACTACTTTTTAAAGTAGCTTCTTTATTTAATGAAGCCTTGTATAAAACTGTTCGCCTACTTCTCATATAATTGCAGTATTTTTCTATCTTGATTATTTGTTTCTACTAAGTTACCGTTTTTGGTTAAGGAATGTTATATTTTCCTTAAGCTGAAAAACAGCAGATACATGTTTAATTCATTAGAAATCAAACTGGAGGTTCACTTGCATTTTCCCTACAGTCACTTTATAATGAATTCAAATAAAAAACACATACAATTTTTTTTCTCACACAAATTTTTACTCTTAACAAAGTGCTTTGTTTTTAACAGGGCTGTGCAAAGCTTTAGTTTAAAGGTTTGTGGCAATACTGAAGTCAATGTATTGAATTGAAACTACTAACTCTGAATCAATGTGAAGGTTTAATGGACCATAACACACCATTAATTCTAATCAAATTGAGTCTTCAAATCATACAGCAAATCTGAGCTGGATATGGGTGATTTACACACTCTAAATGTTGAATAAGATCACTGATCCATCTAGCACACTATGTTGGTAATGATCATTGCCCTCCATGGTTACAAGCTTAAATTGTTCCTAGACTCCACAGCATGCAAAGTATGCTCTGACATTCAGATACAGACCCCTCCCTTAATAAAATTTCTAGCCTTAAGAGGCAAAAAATGGATGCCACCAATAAAGTACATGGGTATAAAGACAGATAGATAGAAAGAAGGCAGTGCGAACTAAAATATAAAATGGTAACCCAGATCCAGCCAATAATTTAGGAATGTTCTGAGATGGGTGCTTCATTTTGTTTTCTGCACTTCTTTAAACAGCATCTCTCCATCCTATACCAAATTACTTCCAAAAACCCCATATCCTGAAGTGCATCAATAGATGGCACAGATGGTTATTACACTTGGGAGAAATAAGTCAAAGGCCCCCTTTGCCCTGCCAAGGTGGCCACATTGCTACATAGATCTCAAGCTACAGAGAACAAATGTTTAACAAACATTCCTGATACAATTAATCTCTGCAGGGATTTCTGTGTTTTGAAATGTCTGACTAGTCCTATATATCTCCAGACTAGATAAAGAAAAAAAATCACAGCACTGAAAATGTTTCAGGATGCCTTTATTAAGGTACCTATTGATGAAGTACAAATTCTTGATCAACATAATCAGCAGAAATGTTTTATATCGATGTTTTATATTCATGCCAGCTTGCCTTGGCTTGCATTCTAAAATTGGACATTTTTTAAACTCAAACATGGAACATTTGCTTGAGTAATGAAATCATAATTAGAAGCCTGCAGCTTCTTGACAGAAAGAGGAACATTAATTACAGACATCTAATAAAATTCTTACACATCTATCCTGAGAAAAATCTCTGACATAATCACAGATTATGACATACTCTTTCCTTTCTTGTACACATAACCTCTGAGAACAATACGAAGAGCCCTAAGAATGTGTTTTGGATTACCGTATATACTCGAGTATAAGCCGAGTTTTTCAGCCCATTTTTTGTGCTGAAAAAATCCCCCTCGGCTTATACTCGAGTCAGATTCCCCTCTGAAAAAAAAATGGTGTGGAGCTCCGGAGCTGGGCAGGCGCTTCCCTGCTTCCGTGTTTCCTTTGCAACTTTTAAGCATGGGGGTAATCGGAAGCAGAAAAGTTCTTGCATGAGGATATATTTTTTCTTTTTTTAACTGTTTTTAGGGGGGGGGAGAAAGACCCACCGTCATGTGAGAATGCTCAGACACGAAATCTATCTGCCCGAAAATAAGTGTGTGTGTGTGGGGGGGGGGGGGGGG